GTAGTCAGGAACACCGAAGTACAAGTATATTTAATCAGCACCGGAAGAAGTTGTTTACTTTATCGCCAGTTCGTGATCACGATACCCGCAGTTCGTGTGGTCTACGCTACGGTCGATCCACTCTGACTGAGTGATATCTGCAATCTGCACAGCACAATATCTCGAGCTAGGTGACTTCCTGGCTCCTGCAAGCTGCGACAGTATGTTACTTTTGTTTGAGTGACACAAGATGAACAATAATTTGTTTATCTTTATTATCTCAACGGCAAGAACTTGTGTGGCACTTTGTGGCGAACTAAGTAGGGAGACTAGAACAAGAACCTGCGTTAGAACTAAGGCCACTCTAAAGTAGTTTAAAATAAATAGACAGTTGGATTTTTTATTACAGATTTGTTGACTTCCCAAAATGGAATATTTATTTTTTGGTAATTTTTTTTTTGTTTACATGTTTGGTGACCCCAGAAGAAGTGGGATTTTTGATTGACATACCATTGACTTACAATACTTCATAGTATTAATTGGAGATTTTAAAAAGTTTTGTATAATCGACAGAAATAAGTTATTTACATCAGCACAATGTATCGGTGTTTCACATCAACGACGACAATTTTGATTTCAAAATTGGCTACAAAGCATAGATGAAGTAATATCTATGCTACAACTCTGACATTGAGATACAACGTCAAGTTGTATCAATAGTCCAAAGTCATACCGAGATTCGGCAAACATAGTTTTGAACTAGTGGAATTTATCACTGCACTAATGGTAATAACCTGTTTTTAATTTGTTTGCTCCAGACAAAAGCTTAAAATTACAGTGCATATTATGCGTTTTGAATGAGTGTACGTGTACGTTTTTACGGTGGTTTAGAAACAAAGTGTGAACTCAAGATGTAAAACGTAATGTAGAGTAGACTAAACGTTGACTATAAATACTTCAGCTGTATTTAGGTAAAGTTTACATAAACAATACGTATCTCAAACGTGCTGACCCAAGTAATGTTAAGTGTGTAAAATGTGATTGACTAGTCTTTTGACCCAACATGTGAATGCTAAATACGGCATTTAACTGTATAAAAGTTACTTTGATCACAAGGATCACCCTCGCTGTCTCATAATACTAGGTATCTTACACTAACAATCTTAGCAATTGTGGATAACTATAGGCATGCACTGTGGATGCGATACTCCCTGGTGTGGATTAACGAGCACGAGTGAGTGCTACGACTATCCACAGTCCTATCCTGATGTCCTGATAATTAGATCAATTCGTATATACCAAGGCAAAAATGTGATTCGGATTCCACTATAAACTTTAGGTCCCTTAGTTGCCATTAGCTGTATGGGCTATTAATTAACAGCTGTGTCTAAGGAATGTCGGCCTTAGTCACTAACAAGGCTACAAGATCGCGCCACTTATCCTACACTCATCTCCATTCATACTTGGCTTAAAATACCTATGGTCACAATTTAATAAGAAAGTAAAGTATAAAAGTATAATGAAATTTGTGTATGCGTCGTTAGTGTGAAATAGTAATGTTTGATTGTTTTTAATAGGGGAAGATTCTGGCTATTCTTTCTTTTAGAAAGTCAAATCAAACCATATATTTAATAATGTAGAAGTAGTTAAAAATTGAACAGTTCATTGCTAACCTTGAAAAGATCGAAGATTTGTGCAAGTTTTTGCAACTTAAGTGATTTTCCCTATGAAATATCATATTTCATCATAAAGGTTGACAAGGTAATGGGAAAATTATGTGTCACATTGCTGATACAGTTTATTATATTAATTTACTAATAGCAACATACGGAATGAGTAAAAGCGGTAGCGTCTTGGACATTGCTGGTTTGCAAGCCCCGCCAGGAATACATTTTTTGCCTTCAGGTCAGTTGGGACAAACATTTGTGATATATTTATATTTTGTTCAAAACAGGCCGGGTTATAATTTACTTAGTGATTCCTTGAGTACAAATAAGCAAAAATATTTACATGTATATAATATGTATATGTGTAATCGCTTTAAATTAACGCCAGACAGTCTGTATATTGTTTTAACAAAAACACTCATAACTCCTTAGTAGTTTAAGCTACAGTATTAAGATTCTGCAAAATCTATATCAATGTATATATTATAATTTCTAAAGTACTTTTTGTCGGTATGCCATAACTTCTTTATTTCTTCATAAATTTTCACAAATAAGGCGTCATTTTAATGTTTTTTTTTATCCACTACACGGGGAAAATATACAAATCACTCAAATTTCAGTAGTTTTTCGTAAAAACGATGTATTATGTAAGTTATGTAGTTATGTATTATGTTTATTGTGTAGGTGATTTAGACTTGAAATTTTGATTTACGTTATTCGATCAGCTTAGACATGTGAATTAAATTAATCACAAGAAATCTATATATATTTAATACGCTAGGCATATTTTTGTCATAATTGTTTGGGAGTGGTGGTGCTACCGATCACCATGATCAAGGTGTCGTTAGGAAGGTCTTAGCATGTAGTTTTGCCATCAAACAAAAAAACTTTGGAATTCTATCAGAGATCTGCCTCAGTGGCCTTCAAAGTTTCCATATTATTCTAAGGGAGAAAATGTTTGTTTATATTTGAACAGATGAATACTTTCAAATTGACACTAATATTTGAAACAGATGGTTATACTAAAATTCCGCACAAAACCAAAACATAACCAAAAAACGTTCGACATAATGGAGACTATAAAGACGTTGACCAGGACGGCCAATAGGAGGAGGCCAACGAACTTTAACTGGTAGACGCGAACGAAATACAAATAGTACTATTGTCGTTAATAGCCGAATACAGCAAGCACCCTTCCTTGCTGGGTTTAAGTGTGCTCTCCAACAGTCGCCAGAAGATTTCACATTCAATTTAGGACTGTTGGATAATTTCTGCATAAGGTGTTGATTTTGGAAGACAAGGAGGAGGGTGGGACTAATTTGAAAACAGAAGAGAGGAGATATTAGATGAGTGGAAAATGCGTTGGGAGCAGAGTGTTCTATGTTAACGTTTCAAAGGTAAACTTTCGTATTTATACCTAGCATCAGAGAGAGACTGGAACAAGATTGGGAGATGGGCCATTATGAAACGCAGTTTGTCACAGGACATTGAAAATTTCAAGGCGATTTTGTGAAGATTTCACCAGGTGGAAGAGGACGTGTGTAGATGTGGATAAATAAAAACCACGAGTCACGTACATTTATAAATTGCTCACTTCTTCAGGAGACAAATAGGTGAGAACAGGAATATGTCTTGGATAAGATAGGCCTAGAGATGAGAAAATAGAACATGATGAGTGACACGGAAGCAGTTTTCGTGGCTTTGTCAAAGGTGCGCTTTTTCAGTGAAAACTATGTCTGTGTAAAATCAAAGCCATTAAAACAAAAATCGTATATGCCCATAGTATTACTTCTAACATGGTGTTCATATAGGTCCTATAAACATGTAAATACTTAAATAACTTACCAATATATTTTGAAAATCTATTCTTGGAATCAACGATGTACTTACGACGCAGAATGAACTGTATGTTGTGTACTTCTAAGTGGTATATGAGAAGGAGTTAGTGCAAATGCTTCCCACGCTGTTTTTTTTTCGTAATAGCCGATTTTTTGCAAAATATTTTTCAGTTTAACAGTTTAAGAATGGTTGCTATGCAAAATTCTACAAAATCCGTTAATTTTACTAACAATTTCAAGCTTTGTTTGTAACAGGAAAAACTGAGAAATTAATTTCTTTCCTGCTACACCTTTAGTTACTCCTCTGTAGGCCTATATAAAGAGTTTTCATTTTTCATGCACATTATGGTTATTTGAACTCTGCGCAGGATACAGCAAATGTGATAAAATAATTATAATTTTACAAGGACGGCGGTCGTTGTGTTTATTATTGCGTGACAAATTCTTCAAATTATCCCTCCTGTTAACGTGTAAAAGTAGGTCTACTGAAACATATAAAAGCTGCCCAAGACACCTGACAATAGGACATTATCTGGCAAATCACATGACAATGGCTGGTGATGAAGGTGGCGTGAGCATTCAGCGTAATCACCGGACCGTGAGCATAGAGACGTGAGCATGAACATGAGCATAGAATCATGAGCATGAAAATGTAGCCTATCGTAGTGCGCCACGCACCGGAGATTAAACGATGACTATATTTACTATTGTTATAAGGTGTCTTAATTGCAGAGGGGCTCCCTTCAGATAGAAAGGGAAACTGTTAGAATTATCTAGTGGAAATTCCATCGAGTAAGTAATAGTGTATAAAAACTAAAAAAAAGTTGTAACACATGTTAATTTCTGAGAACTTGAAGATTTCCATGATCAATTTCCCCAACAAATTACTGCACGGGCCCGCTAAACCAATGTTCTTTAAATTGCTCCATGGTTCAACAATACTTTTAATTGGAAACCATACATGATAATTCTAGAAGGAAATAAAACTTATATCTATGCAAATATACTTAAAATTATCTTGATTATAGGGCTTTTAGGATTATCGTTGATGGGTCTCCAAAAAAAGGGTGGAAGGTACTGAACAAATTGTAGTATTTTTTTTAATTTAAAAACTTTACTTTTTAATCAGTTGGTACTATTTGTTCTAAAATTGTATACTGAGTTAGTGAATTGGGCGTTGACTTTTGATATTTTTACATTAAAATAACAAACCCGACTGCCTTTTCTAAATACCCTGTAAACACAACGATGCACCAGACTATGCATAGTATAACGATATAAAGTATTAAGGTTGTAAAAAAATAAGACTATAACAAAAATATAAATGTATATAACAACAGTTTGTACACAAATGAACAATATTTACAGAACAGGAAGTATTAACAATAATTAACAACATGAAGCTAATCTACGAGGATAGAGACTGAGGTGAGGGGAACATCCTCTCTTGGTTAAGTTTCGTATCACCAAAGATTACATATGCTGCGTAGCATATGTAATCTTTGGTATCACTGAAGAAACAGGTGGTATGAGAACTTAAGGTAAGTTAGTACAACATAATTTGGCTTAAGTATGTCCGAACTCATAGGAAGAGTTGTTTCAAGGGTAAGGTCCACCGGGATGCTCCTCTGGAACGCATGCTTCGTGCCACACTGGCTTACTGACTTTCTTCCACGCCGGCACTTGAATATGTTTTATAGCAGGAACTTGAACTGTCTTCCAAACCTCCTTCCATACTTGTTCTTTCTTTGTGGCCCACTCTTGCTTTTTCTCAGTTTTCCAAACCTGGATCTTTTTCTCCTTCCAAATCATTTTCTTCTCTGTAACCCAGATCTGTTTCTTCTCCTCCTTCCAAATCTTTACCCACTCTTCTTTCCACTTAAGCTCTTTTTTCGTAACCCAAATCTCCTTTTTCTCAGTTTTCCAAATCTTCTTCCATTCTGACTTCCAAATCATTTTCTTGACCCATTTGCATCCACCTGATCTGTCCCAACCGTGTTCATCTGGGATACATTTCTTTATAACGACGGGGATCCAGACTTGTTTCCAAGCTGGAACTTCGACTTCTTTCCAGGCAGGTACCTTCTTCTCCACCCAAATGGGTTTTTGTACTTTTTTCCAGTCAGGTTTTTTCTCTACTTTCCAAGCGGGGACTTCCTTCTTTAACACTTCTGGAACTTTAATAGTTTTCCAGTCTGGCACTTGAACCTCTTTCCAGATTGGTACTTGTGTTTCCTTCCATACCGGGACTTTATCTTTTTTCTGTTCTGTCTTCCAGATTTTCTTTTCTTCTGTTTTCCAGATTTTTACCCACTCGTCCTTCCACACAAGTTTCTTCTTTATTTTACAGTGTTGATGGCCATGGTCACCTCCTCCCCCGCCACCACCTCCTCCATATCCACCACCGCCGCCTCCATATCCACCGCCGCCGCCACCTCCATGACCACCGCCGCCGCCTCCGTATCCACCGCCGCCTCCACTTGTGTCCCAGCCACCTCCACCTCCGCCTGCTCCGTATCCTCCGCCTCCATGTCCACCACCGCCGCCTCCATGACCACCGCCGCCGCCTCCATATCCGCCGCCGCCTCCACTTGTGTCCCAGCCACCTCCACCTCCGCCTCCTCCGTATCCTCCGCCTCCATGTCCACCACCGCCGCCTCCACTTGAATCCCATCCACCGCCGCCACCTCCTCCGCCACTCCAGCCATCACTTCCTCCACTACTGGCACTCCATCCACCGCCGCCACCGCCACCGCCGCCGCCTCCATATCCACCGCCGCCTCCGCTTGAGTCCCATCCTCCGCCACCGCCACCGCCTCCGTGACCACCTCCATCACCACCTCCATATCCACCGCCGCCTCCTCCACTTGAGTCCCAGCCTCCCCCGCCGCCTCCTCCATGGCCTCCCCCATAACTGTCCCCACCACTTCCACTTGCGTCCCATCCACCTCCTCCGCCTCCGCCGCCGCCTCCTCCAAGATCCCAGCCGCCGCCGCCGCCACCTCCATTGCTTGAATCCCAACCCCCTCCTCCTCCTCCGCCGCCGCCACCTCCTCCTCCATGACCTCCTCCATAGCTGTCGCCTCCACCGCCAGAAGAGTCCCATCCTCCTCCTCCGCCACCACCGCCGCCTCCACTCACGTCCCATCCTCCACCTCCTCCACCACCACCGGAGTCCCAGCCACCTCCTCCTCCATCTCTCCGTTGGATTTGTGTGTCAACCCTGCAACATAAATAACCTTATTAGACAAGGTGATTACATTAAAATTACTTTGGGCCACACAGTTAATCTGTTTTAATAACAAACATGATTCTAATTTTCTAATACTGATCAATTTTACTATTTTAAGATTTTGACGTAGGATAAATGTGCATGTATGCTTATTTATTTAAAATGTACAGTTAAAGTTTGAGTTGAGAGATGTTAAACTGTATTTGAAAAAAGTTAATACTACATTTCGTTTGAAAGATAGCCAGCAACATCTACTTTTATCTTCAAGAAGAACAACTGTTAATATTGGAATTAATACTAATTTGAAATAACAACATCGCCAATATTTCTGAATTTTTAATTTTTATGAGGCCTTTCGCCAGCTATGCTGGCATCATCAGACACATCACAAAACTTTAGCATAGAAACTTTTTAGCATAGCTGGCGAAAGGCCTCATAAAAATTAAAAATTCAGAAATATTGGCGAAGTTGTTATTTCAAATTAGTATCTACTTTTATAATCACTATCGTCCCACGTGTTGTTCCTGATTCTTTGTAGAAACGTGGCAACGTCGTAAGTTCTCTATCGTGGAAGCTAACAACCTCGATAGAGAGTGAGATAATTGCAAGAACCATTGTTGGCGCGTTCAATTAACAAAGTAATGTTCTGGTGCGATGAGACTTACACTTGTCTCCTTATCATTGAGGGAAATCTATCATTCTTTGTCGGCATTTCCTACCTCTTCTCCAACCGCTTGTCAGCAAACGGTTAGTGTGAACTACTAGCACTAGTATAAACAGATATTTTGGTTAGTATCTGAACCATCAGAGTGGTAAATAGAAAAAATGTTTGATCAATTTTGTAGAAACCAATTCGTTTATCAATACAGAATTAGAGTTATTAGTGATACAATTTATTATTGACAATAAATCATGAGCCAAATACTTGAAACCGTTAAAGCAGGGTCTATGTGGCAGTCATCCTATAACTAATCGTAAAATATACTAACGGTAAATAGCCAAACACAATCATAACTTACTGTGCAAATTTGTTATTTTTCATTATTCAAACCAAATATTGAATTTCCTTCACTAAACGATCTTTTTATGCAGTAAGCTGCAATCAAAAAACTGCATGACACATTTAGTCCAGTCAATTACCGTTTTCCCGCGAATATCCCATGCAGCACCGATTCACATAAACATGTGGGTTTTGTGGACTTGTCCTCTATTTCAAAGTCTACCCAGTGCCAGTTTTTTTTCTTAGTGGGGTGCCACCTCCCCTTTTTGGGAGTAAGCAATTATTTCGTTGATAATAAGTACAAAAATTGACAAGCAGCTTTTGTCCTTGCATTTAATCAAACAACCTGTAAATAGCAAAATTATAGCTTACAAAACCTGTGAAAAAGCATATGTTTATCATATGAAAGATTATTGTTGATACCATTTAGGTTTTACAAACGTTGGCTTTTGGCCAAATACACATTGTCTTAAACGTTTACCATTGTTTAAAGAACAAACGACTAATTATTAGCAATGTTATTTCAAGATGAGCATTGATGATTATATTCCCGCCATTAAATTAACGACCGTTACTATAACGACTCTAGTGACTCCCCAACGGTCGTTACGTTACGTGGTCATGCATCACGATTTGTGGTTACTTCCCACATTGTCCACTTTCACCCCTTAAAACTTCATCAACATGCGATTTTCCGATGTTTCAAAGGTCAGGTTTGTTTATAAATTGTTGACAACCGGCTTCGTGGGTGAGCTTTCTCTCAGTGCTTACTGTGCATTTTCTTAGTAATTTAAGAACATTCACTTAACTTTAATGAAATTGCTGTGGTATACTGTAACTTTTTCCCTCAGTCACAACTGTTTTTGGTAAATATTTGTTAAAAATATATGTAACAATTTCTTTTGTCTTAATTCCGTGAAGTTATTGACATAAATTTCTTACGTATTTGAATAATTGCTGTTTTCCATGTCAAATCTTTGTTGCAAGTCAGAAAATACAACCTAAAAATGTCTCCAATACAGTTTTTGAGAGTTTTAACATTTTCTTGGTTTTGACAACGTTATTTACCTACGGGTTACTAAGCTAATGGTTCTTCAGATGTGCTTCGAGACTCTTTGCGGTATTTATGTATCGGACAACCAATTAAACTTTGAGGGCTATTGTAACATCCTAACTACATATGATTTAGTTGTTGAGTAATCGTAATACATTTTCCGAACAAACTACGGTTCTACTTAATTGAACAAAAAATTAAACTCCAACTAATGTTGGAGCTAAAAATTCAATTGAATGGCTTTCCCCGAAGATGGGTTGCTGCTACACATCCTAACCGACTCGGTCTCACTCGAAGACCAATATATAATTTAACGATTGAGCTAACCTTCTAGCTCAACATTCTTAGTTTCATTAGTTTAAACTTATAGAATTATTATAAAAAACAATAAATAACTCACGATTTCTTCTGCCTGGTGTCGGCGGGTTTGGCTGCTGGGTCTGGCGCTGGGCTCGGCACTGGGCCACATACTGCTGACGTCACCAGCAGTAGCGCCTGAAACGTCATCAGTTAGTTGACAAACGTCAGAAAACCTTACAGTAATAGAACCCTATAAAGATAGGTTATACCATTATTGAACTTCTATTTGTGATGCCTTTTAGTCAGCAATTGAAAATACAAATTGAAAAAAATATATATCTGGGTATCCAGGTAGTTAAAATGCTGCGTTTGAATCTGAAGGTTGCAGGTTCGATCCACACTGGACGCAGATGTAATTTGTCACTGAGATTAATTAACGATGTAGCAAAAACTCATAGCACCATCAGGTTTTGGACAGCCCCCCCCCCCCCCCAAAAAAAACCCCATTTTAAATATGACACTGACATACAAATGAACAAAATGAAATACTCTTTGCGTATTTACATGTCCTTATAAACATAGGATCTCAGGTAAAACAGGAAGAAACACATTGTGAAATTTTTGAGTTTAAATTAAATAAAAAAAACACTGCATTCTAAGTATCTAATGTATCAAGTAACCACTAATGTATCACTAAATAATATAATAAAAATTTATTATGTTCCGTTAGCCTAGAAAGTGAGTTGCGGTGTTGGAATAGGCTTAAAAAGTAAAGCATAAGTCGTAAAATCTACCTTAAAGCTTAACATCTGCACACTCTTCGGTTTTTAGAATAGTATGAGAGTCTGTTGTTTTCCAATCCAAGGTTACAACTTGCATAGTATCATTGAGATGCCAAAATAAATTAAATTTGAGTAGTATTTAATATACAATTTCATAAAAATGTAGATGAACAATGTATAATTAAAGAAAATGATCAAGATTGTAGATTGAAGATGTTTCAGGGAAAGGCGGAAATGAATTCATTCACAGCCAACCCTAGTTACACGCATGCTACAGCTACATAACAAACAATAAGCTACAATCGAACACTGCACCCAGGAGAATAGGGCGTTAACAATGGCTTTGCAATAAAAACAACAATGAAAGAAATTCGCTTTCACCGTAAGGAAATACTGGCAATTAATTAGTTGGTGGAAAGTGTCCTGCGATACACGCAGAAGGCGTATCTGTACAGGAAGTGTCGTTTAACTTATGCAAGTTATCCTGGTTTGTATATCACGAGTCCTGCAGGATGGCAGGATACCAGGATGGCAGGATTGCAGGATGGATCCTTCAGTCAGGATGACATTGAAATGCCGTGAAACTGTGAGAACTGGGGTACTTTCTGGTTATTTGCATTGAAAACGCTTTTTTATCCTCATTCTTACTTTCGTTCTTGACCCCGAAATGAGCACGGTGAAGCTAGTATCGTTTGTACTGTTAAACATGTAAGTGAACTATGGTTTTGTTTGTTAGTAGTCTTAAAATCATTTTATAATAGCAATATTGTTGATAAATATTAAATTGATTTTTTAGAATTGAATGAAACCATAAACTAAGCAACACAAGGGAGTATGTTTCGTCTATCCTAGTGTAATCGCTATCACTTTTTTTCGTTTAACCTACGTTTAGCTCACAAAGGTAGTATTTATTGATTGCTTTAAAATATTATCACTGATTTATCATTTACCTAATGCTTGGTTGGTTATGACAAAATGTTTACCCCCCCCCCCCCAAATTTATAGAAAGGACAAAATTAAGTGTTGAAAACTTTTATTTATCCTGCTCATAATTTATAAAGGTACAAACTAAGCTTTTTACTGTTCCTTGTGTACACCTTTGAAGACGAAAATTCATAATTTGATTTATTCTACTATCTCGTATGTAATAAATCATTAAGCATTAAAATTTAGTGATTGACGGGGCAAGTCACTTTATTGAGAAACTGTATATTTTAAAACTAAAATAAAATTATCTCTTATTCTGCACTGTTATCTACAATGATTACGTTTTCAGTTTAAAGGTAAGCTACAAATTTTCTCTTGTATAAACTCAACCCTGTCTTAAAACATTAAATGGGACTACAAAATAAAATATGGAAAACATAAAAACATTAAACATTAAACAAAATAAATGGGAAACATTAAAATATAAAATAGACTTTAATTTACTTATTTAGTCTGGATTTAGCATTTATAAGATAGACTAAGCCGTTTTGTTTTGATATATTATATGTCCCTAAAGATGATAATCAGTATGGGAGTTCTACTTTTCTAGCGGAACAATCGGTGATTTACGGGCTCAATGCTTCTCTTTGAACCTTGATAACAGGTGCTACGGCTCTTGAACATGAACACCATGAACCATGGCGCTGTTCAATGGCGCATGAACACTAAACTCCGTCAGTAACTATCATGTTGGACACATTTTCATTGTAAATTTAATT